CCATCTTCTGTCTTAGCTCGTCTCATGTCTTTAGCAACTTGTTCTGGGTCTGCTTTTATTCCTGTGTCTTGACCAAGTGTGAATTTTTCATCTAAATAGCGCTTCTGGTTGTCATTGAACCTTTTACCAGCTTTCGAGACTTTCAATGCCCACCCTTGACTTAAGGCTTCAACTTTGCCAGCTTCTACTGATGGTGAATTCTTTGAAGTGGCTGCTAGAAGTGGTTGTTYACTTGCACCTTCCAAAAGCTTTTGCTGGTAGATCACTTTGGCCTTGTCCATGAGGGTTCTTTTTTCAGGTTTAAGCTGACACTTTCCATACGACATGTGGTGCTCCAAGTTTGAGTACCTTTGGAAGGTTTTGACGCAGCCTTCAAACGGGCACGAAAAAAGGCCATTATCTTGCACTGGAATTTCGGTTTCATCTTCGCTCTCGTTTTCTTTTYCTTCTACAGGTTTTTCTMCTTGGGCTTTTGTGGCTCCTTCAAAATGTCCATTGGAAAACGAAACTTTGAAGGGAGAATCAGGAATTTTACTGTCGACTTAAAATAGAACGAATATGATTATATAACGTGTAACATGTGCTTTCCCTATAATATCACTCTTTTTACCTACATGATTTTGGTAGYATCAATCACTTGTCAGGCTTACGCACTTATACAGTTGCGCAACTGCATGTGTGTGATAAATGAATTTTTCATGTAATCATGTTTTTGTTATCTATTTTGCAGGATTATAATGATTGATCGATTAATTCTGACTAAAMGTTCAAGAGATAATTACCTTTGAGATCAGACCAGGTTAATGTCTTCCCTTTCCCTATGTCATACGCCCTCCACACAGTAACATTGCGATCATCATCCTGATAGAGGAAGTTGTTGAGAGAGTTAATTCCCTCYCACTTATCTTGTAAAGGCGCTGCTTTGAGTTCTTTGGCATCAACCAACGCAACTCGTACACCATGTACACCGCCATGGGATAAAATAGCATCTTTTAGATTCTCCGCTGTGACTATATCGTTGCCCTCATTGAGGAAGCGTCGAACATGAGCTTTAATTGTGGCAGCCTTCCTGTCACATGGGCCTTTACCGCCTTGTGGGTCGCTAAAATCTACTCTCTCGACTTTGATGCCAGTCTCTTTCTTCATTAGCCGACACGCTGCTAGTACGGTGGCRTTGTGATAGCAGCCCGCGTTGTCTTGTCGTAGGTAGGCTGTTTTTATCTCTGGATTTTCTTCCTTCAGATGTTTTAGAGTGTGTCGAATTATTTGAACGACAACAGTGTGGTCTTGAGTTGTATTTTTGACGATGTGGACAAATGSCTGGTGTTGCAGGATGTCTTCAGATATGCGTGACACGATACTTATATGCCAGGAAATACCTCGCTTTGCGAACCARTCCGCTTGTGTTTCACGGTACTTCTGTGGCAAGAATTTCATAGCCCAGTCTTCAGTGATGAGTACAGATGTATTATCCAAGTCTTGCAGCACGTCTAAGCGAGCCTTATCTTGTTGGAACGATCGCAGTTGATGAGCTTTCCATGCTTTGATTGCTTTTGTTGCTTGCTCGTACGTGTAGTATAGGTTATCACGGTCGTCTTCAGATAGCTCAGCGCAGTCAAGGAAGGACTTCAGATCATTAATTGCAGTATCGAGTTGGTAACAGGAAACACAAACTTCTTCATGGGCGTGGTCACAAGTCGTTGCATGAACGCCTTCAGACGGATCACTAAGAGCATAAGAAATGCAATGATCTGCGACATTACTTGAATGAGAAACGTGTACCTAAAA